ACACAGCTATGACGCGACACCGATCAAGTCTATTTGAAACAAGATGAATGGTCTATGCTTAATTTCATGAAGTGTGCGATTAATCGAGATTAATCACAGAAAAAGGATGTGATTAATTAGATAAAACATTGTTTATCGATTGACAGCCCTAATTATATGCTTCGTTTTTTCCATCTTACTTTGCTCTCTTCAAAGTCAAAACGGATGCTTCGAACTGCTCTGTTTTTGTGAACCGTAAACTCTGCCTACTTCAATTTGATTGGCCATCTTGGTCATTTTGACATTGACAAGCGGTGTTAGATCGCTGAGGCAGACCAGCCTAATTTTTTTTAACTGAATGCTTGAAAAACAATAATAATAATCGTAATTGTCAACATTGTCAAATCATAACAATATAACAACAATCCAGGGTCCTTTTCAATCCAGATTAAGTGCCAAGTCCTTAAACAAAGCCATTGTTCTTTTTGCTTTAAGTTTATAAGCAGACCAGCCTAAATTAAAAACGTAACTTTTCATCATCCAAACAACAGAGGGTTGCGTAATGGAGGGCAGCAGAGCAATGCAAGAATTTTAAATATAGGCCTTATTATTGGGGGGGACTTGTCTCTCTCAGAGTCTGTAGTGGTTACGGCCCTACAGACTGGGAGTACATGAATACCAATTCGTCCTAATGAAATATGAATGTAATGTGTTTGTGACCCTCTTTCCCCTGCAGAACTATGTGACTTGTGCGTTAGGAATACACTATGTTGGCTTTGTGATGATCTGCTTTGGTGCTTCTAACTCCCTGTGCTCATTCGCATTTGGTAAACTGGCTCAATACACTGGAAGAATCGCCCTCTTTTGCTTGGGTAATAAAAGAACAGGTTGACATATGGTTTAAAGGTTAAGTATGGTTGTTAGTATGGTTGTTGTTCATTCTGTCTTACTACACTTTCACAGCTGCAGTGACAAACCTGGGCTGTTTTCTGGGTCTTTTGTTCTGGGAGCCTCATCCAGACCTGCTGGGAGTGTTCTTTGTGTTTCCGGCCCTCTGGGGGATGGCTGACGCTGTGTGGCAAACACAAACCAATGGTAAGTGCTTTATACTGCATACTACTTAGTTATCTATACAGTTAAGCTATTCTTACGAATATAAAATGGATAGTTTTTGGTGCTAAATTCCGATAAACAGTCTATAATTATGAACAGCCTAAAATCAGGCTATTTTATTACAATTTTTTTTTATTTTTACATCATAAATATGAATAAAATAATAAAAAGAAAGAAATAATTAAATATTATAATAATGTTTATAGAAATACTTCCATAGATGTTTTAACATGTTTATATATATATATATATATACACACACATATATATATATATATATATATAATATAATATTTTTTTTTATATATAATGAATGTAATGTGTTTGTGACCCTCTTTCCCCTGCAGAACTATGTGACTTGTGCGTTAGGAATACACTATGTTGGCTTTGTGATGATCTGCTTTGGTGCTTCTAACTCCCTGTGCTCATTCGCATTTGGTAAACTGGCTCAATACACTGGAAGAATCGCCCTCTTTTGCTTGGGTAATAAAAGAACAGGTTGACATATGGTTTAAAGGTTAAGTATGGTTGTTAGTATGGTTGTTGTTCATTCTGTCTTACTACACTTTCACAGCTGCAGTGACAAACCTGGGCTGTTTTCTGGGTCTTTTGTTCTGGGAGCCTCATCCAGACCTGCTGGGAGTGTTCTTTGTGTTTCCGGCCCTCTGGGGGATGGCTGACGCTGTGTGGCAAACACAAACCAATGGTAAGTGCTTTATACTGCATACTACTTAGTTATCTATACAGTTAAGCTATTCTTACGAATATAAAATGGATAGTTTTTGGTGCTAAATTCCGATAAACAGTCTATAATTATGAACAGCCTAAAATCAGGCTATTTTATTACAATTTTTTTTTATTTTTACATCATAAATATGAATAAAATAATAAAAAGAAAGAAATAATTAAATATTATAATAATGTTTATAGAAATACTTCCATAGATGTTTTAACATGTTTATATATATATATATATATACACACATATATATATATATATAAATATAACCTAATATATTTTTTTTTATTTAGAAATATACTGTATAGTCATTATACTGTGTGTTTATTTCATATGCAGCACTTTATGGCATTCTCTTTGTTGAGCACAAAGAAGCAGCATTTGCTAACTACCGCATGTGGGAGTCACTCGGTTTTGTTATAGCCTTTGCTTACAGCACATTCATCTGCCTGTCCACCAAAATCTACGTTGCTTTGGCAGTTCTTGCCCTTACCATGGTAACTTACCTTTATGTTGAGTACAACGAGTACAAGCATCCAACTCCACAAGTGACTATTGACAACTTGCATAAACCAGAAAAGACCGACCTCAAAGAATTGAATGACAAAGATGAAAAAGATATAATCTCTCAGACACAAATGTAAATAGATTTTAGTTGATAGTTCTGCATCATCAGTATGTATCTCAGTATGTAAATTTTTTTTTTGTTGTCATTCAGAGATTATTTTTCTGTATGTTTTACAGTGTTGAGAAGCTATTCTGTTTTTTTGATGTGGCATGTAAATGTTTTGATAATTTTCTTTATTATTTTTTATTTCTGTACAAAAGCACAAACAATTTATTTCAGTATATCCATTATATTACTTTTTTCTTTTCTTTTAATATGTTTATTGCATTTACCTCATATGCAGCAGATCAAATACTGTTAAATGTTAACATGAACAAAGTGTTAAGTAGATTAGGAGATCATATAGAAAATATGATCATAAAGTAGAGATTGATGTCTATATATAATAAATCAGCTGTTTTTACCATAAACTAAATTACGCAGCGACTGTATCAGTTTCCCATTGCATCATACTGAGTCAAAGCTCACATGTCAAATCTACAAGACAAAAATCACAGGATGAGATCCAGGTAATAAAATGTCTAACTGAGAACATAAAAAATAATGTAGCAAATTATATAATAATCATTCCAGACAGAATGTTACACGAAATGTAAATATTTCCACAATATTAAAATAATAGAATTAATGAAAAAAGATTCTGCACAGATTATAACCTTTATAGCCGTTATTAGCAATGTCTAAAGGGCATCGCTGCATGTTACAGGATCTTCCTGACATGCTCATATAGATAGTCTGAGTGAGTCATTATGAAGCTTTTGCACCAAAGAAGAAAAAAAAGGAATCAAAGAATAATTTGAAGATTACACTCTTCCTGAAGCAATAGCTATTAGTGTTGTTATGTAAGAAATGAGCAATATAACAGTGGATCAAAATGAAGCAATTGAATCTCATTCTATGCATCTGGGTTGTAATTCAGACAATAATTCTGGTTATGCCTCTCTGAATGATATGTAACATTCACATTCCCAGCTTACCAGAAATATTTTTATGACAGCACTAAAAAAAACACTTTTTAACAGTTATTCAACTGAAGAAAACAACTTTAAAACATGCGCTTGGATTCTTACGAGATAGTGTACAAATATTCTGTGTCCACGACACACTGTACAGTACACTCTAAAAAATGCTGGGTTAAAAAGAGACAAACCCAGCTATTGGGTTGTTTTGAACCACTGGGTCAAAACAACCCAACCGCTGGGTCAAAACAACCCAACCGCTGGGTCAAAACAACCCAACCGCTGGGTCAAAACAACCCAACCGCTGGGTCAAAACAACCCAACCGCTGGGTCAAAACAAACCAACCTCTGGGTCAAAACAACCCAACCATTTTTTAAAGTGTATATTCCAAATAAACAGTTTTAGGACATTTTTATGGGCTGATAATACGGTGAAATCCTGATCTATACTCCTTTAAGCAGTGCATAATTTACATGACAAACTAACAATTTTAGTAACCATGACAGAAATGAAATTTCAGAAATTCCCCAAGACTAACAGCTGGAATATAGCCTAAGATTTACTGTCTCTGTATGCCACCTGCATGCTGCTACGAAGACTACAGTGTAAATCACTGTATTTCTATAATAAACTTATGGTATACATAACATATAATGTAGTATATAGCAGGGATCCTCAAATCTGGCCCACGAGATCCACTTTCCTGCACACTCTAAAAAATGCTGGGTTAAATACAACCCAGTGCTGGGTAAAATAGGGACAAACCCAGCAATTGGGCTGTTTTGACTCAGCGGTTGGGTTAAATGTTTAACCCAACCTTCTGGGTAGTAACCCAACTGCTGGGTCAAAACAATCCAATCGCTTTTTTAGAGTGCAGAGTTTAGCTCTAACCCTAATCAAACACACCTGAGCATGCTAATCAATGTCTTCAGGTTCATTAGAAAATCACAGGTAGCTGAGTTTGATCAGGGTTGGAGCTAAACTATGCAGCGCATTGGCCCTCCAGGACAAGATTTGAGGAACCCTGGTATATAGCATGTGCACTGATAATATTACAGAATAACGCACCACAGTCTCTGTGTTGCTTTGCGTTGTGACCAGTAGATGGCAGCATCCTCACTAATAGCAAACTGGTCCTTGCCAGTCTTGCCTTTTCTGTAGTGTGTATGTTTGTATGTTTTGTAGTGTTTGTTGTGTAGGCTATTTTGATCTCCATAGGTGGCAGTGTTTTCTTGTTCTCTATATTCGGGTCTGAACATGGGGTTTTTTTCTTCTTTTTTTTCGGGTCTGAACATTTCCAGAGAAAATCATTTGATATAAATTGTAATGCAATTAGGCCTATATGTGACATGAGGTCTACATGATTCAACTTCACTTCTAAATATTAGGTTGCCCATTTCATTTATATGATAACGTCTTAAATGTTTGACTATTAGTAACATATTTAAAATATCTTATAAAATACACATCTTCACACATAGTGACGTCACCTGCTCCGACCTCGCAAGGTAACGCAGCAGCTCACGTGGCGCGCTTTTATTCAAACGTTTCCTAGCAACGAAAGATGACCAGAGCAGAGGACACAAAAGGACACACAAGATGTCTGACAGGAACTCTGTGGAGGATCTATCAGGCGACAGAGCTCAGGTAAGAGTGATTTATGCAAATATACTTTACAAACGACTTTGAAATCGAAAAAAGTGTGAAATTAGACCTAAATATGTAACTAGATGCACTAAAACTGAGGTAAGTTATATGAATGGATGTAAAAAAAAAACACACTGGCTTTATTGTGCTTTATTAAAAGCTGTGCTTTATTTCGTGAGCTAATTTAAATGTCTTTCTCAGTGTAACTAGATGCACTAAAACTGAGGTAAGTTATATGAATGGATGTAAAAAAAAACACACTGGCTTTATTGTGCTTTATTAAAAGCTGTGCTTTATTTCGTGAGCTAATTTAAATGTCTTTCTCATCGTACTATGACTGTGTTTACATGCACAAGAATGATCTGGTATTAGTCGATGCATAAACTCCTTATCATGACTGCCTTAACTAACTTAGATTAATTTAAACTGGTATATGTTCCAGTTTGTATGAGCCTCTAGACCAGTGTTTCCCAACCGCAGTCATTCTTGAGAAGTGGGACAAATCAGGGTGCAAAATTGAAAAAATAAAACCTTGTACTCAGACAAATGAAACTACATTTATGTATCTTATATGTACTAAGCTACCGAGCTATGCTTTGATTCAACCTCCCAACTTTTCTCTTTTTTTAACAAAATGTGCTCTTTTTTTTAACCTTGGACTGTGTAATATAATTTCAGCTTTATCTTTAACAGCATTCAAGATGTTTTTAACATTTCAAAACACATTCTGGTGTTAGCAGACAGATTACACTTTCACATGTGACCAACAATTCCACAACAAATATAAAATATCATAATGAAATATTATCAAAATATTCAACTGACGGAGTTGACACATCTGACGGAGGTGACGAAAACCTGAATTTGTAGTCATTTTAACTATCTCATACATTGAATCAGTCAATTACTGTATTAAAACAAACACAACAAACAGTGAGTATGTTATTGTTTATAAAGCTTTTATTCAAGTCAGATTTAAGTATTTTGATATATCATTGAAACACAAAATCTTATGGTGGTGACAAATTTGGCATTTCTTTCACAAAACCAGTGGAGTTCATGTAGTAGCCATTTTATTTTTTTCTGTTGACGCTAGATGCTAATGGAACCTGCTTCAGGAGAATACAATTATCTAAATATTTCAAATAATTTCCTCAGAAATTGGAAGATGGTGTTGACATATCATGGCTGTGTCACAGGAAATATTAACATTAGGATTTAAAATATTCTAAAACTATAAAACTTAGCAGAGCCTGTCTGACACTGATGTACTCTGCAGAGGTGAACTGTGGCAAGGGCGTCCTTTAGAGTGACAGCTGCCCCTGATATTGCCTGATTTTATTACATTTTATTGAATGTCTGACGGTGTTGACAAAAAGTGGGGACGCAACTTTAAAATCGTATTAAACATGCATGTGTCATTAAAAACAACCTTGCTTTGATAGGCGATATTATTTTTAAAAAATAATTATAAAAAAAACTTTTTATACATTTTATTGCATATAAATGCTTGAACCCTTCTCTGTAGACACACTGTTTTTGATGTAGTGAGAGGACATTAAGAAACATAGATTTGGTATAATAATGAGAAAATTAAATTGAAGGTGAAAATTGTGTTAAATACATTCTATTATTAATCCCTCATGACATTTAAAATGGAAAATATTTTTATTTTTAAATCTAATAGCAGTTACCCTTGCTGGACCCGTTTTGTCCCATGTCTCAAGAAGTTCACCGCTCAGGATTCACTTTCACGTGGTGTGACGCTCTGCATATTATCCTGTTTTTTATGGTCTATGGTATTATCCCACTCTATGCGTGTGTGTGCTCAGCTCAGTCACTCACGGCCCATGTGAGTGCTCCACTCATATACCGTTCATGTTTATCGAAACAGCAAAGTCCACTCAAAAATCAAGCTGACAGAAACATCTATGTAGTACAGTATTGTTTCTGTCTGCAATAGCCCTACTGTGCTGTAACAAGGTGTGGTGTATGGGCAACTCTGGTAACGCTGCCCTCTCATTCATTGATCTGCTAACCGTTATGCTCACGTGCCCTCTGATAATAATAGCTTTCTAGGATTAAACATTATTTGGATAATTGGTAAAAAAAAAAAAAAAATCTCTCTTAATAGCCCTACTGTGTGTTAGACCTACCTGAAAAACTAAAAAGCAATTTATTTCATTTGTAGGCCTATCGTGATTTTTTTTTAAATTTGTGCTATCATTAGTAATTACTTTATTTGTTCTTATTTTATTATTAACTGCTTAGCCTCCTTGTCATTTTTTATTCAATTCAAAGTTTTAAATCAAGCTATCTCGTGCTACTGCAACAAAATTACCCAAGTGTAAAATCAAAAATACACTGAGTGAGCAAAACTTTGTTTAATTACCATTATAACTAGCTATCTCACAATGTTTACA